CCAGCTTTCCTCCTGGATCCAAGGTTTTCTAGCTTCACTGCCGATGAGATGTGCATCAGGAGCATGTTGGAAGCATAGGAGCATCCATGGGACCCTCTGTGTCCATACCAATCACTTAATACTTGTCCAGGAAACACAGAATCACATAGACACATAGTCATATACACACTCAAAAACAGCCAGACACAGACAGAAATACAGCCACACACAGTCACACTCATGTAGTCACACACACAAAATCACACACTCATTTCTGGAAAAGAAATGCATTCACACATGAGCAGTGATACAAAACCGTTCATGTCGTTACACACTGTACTTTATGAATTCTGTATAAGAAAACGTGGTTGGTTATATTTCATTCTCTTGGATGCCATATGGCATAAATACGTGGTTTGCAAGCAACTATTATTTCAACAATGACCACACCCTGTGAAGATCAACAGATGTATTTCTCAGTCCACTTAGTAAAAACTCAAATTAGAAATTTAATCCCAACTTTGCTAAATTGCTACAAATTAAAAAATAAAAATAATTGAGATAATAGTGAAAACCTTCCACCAAATAAAAGCCAAGAACCAAATCGATTCAAAGGTGAATTCTACCAGAATTTCAAAGCAAAATTTATAACTTTTTAATCAAGTCTTCTTGAACTATTCCAAGAATTAAACAAAGAGCTGGCATTTCCAAACAAATTTACTGAACACTACACTCATATCAAAGCCAAGTAAAACCATACAAAAATGACAGCCAATATCCATGATGAACATGTATGCAAAACCCCACAACAATACACTGGGAAACTTAACAGCACACTGAAAGGACTATTTACCATGATCAAGTGGTATACTGTCCTAGCTGCAAGGATGGTTCAACGTATGCAGACCAGTTACTATGATACACCCATCTACAGAATGAAGGGTATATACCATCATATAAATATATATAGAATAAAGCATTTAAATTTGAAAATAACTTCAGAATTAAAATTCTTAACAGATAAGTAATGGACCTCAATATACTAAAGGCCACACACATTTGAGAAACCAATAAGTGACATCCTACTACACAGAGAAATTTTCAAAGTTTTTCTTCTTACATCAGGACCAAGAAAAGGGCTCCCCTGTAACTATTTCTATTCATTAAAACTAGAAGTCCTTGTCAGAATAATTAGGCAGAAAAATAAATTTAGAATGTCTAAATCTGGAAGAAACAAGTTAAAATGTTTCTCCTTATCTCTATGCAGATAATCTAGTCTTGTACATAGAAAACCCTTAAAACTGTATGAGAAGCTAATAAAATTAAAATTCAGGAAAGGTGTAAGATACAAAATCAACACACAAATGGCTTGTGCCCCTGCACAGTCTCAACAGAGTGTCTTCATGACTCTAGGAAATATGTGGGCCTGTTTCAGAGGAAAGTGAGGAATAAAAACGTGAACCAGCTAAACAACAAGGAGATGACAACCTAGTGAAACAAGAACCCTGGACCTGAGTGTCCTTGGTCTTGGTTAATCTCCAGTCATGTTCCCAGGGAGCTTTTCCCCCAGTGTGCCACTGGGTCAGGTGCAGGTTCTAATTGACCCCCATCATGTGGGGGCATGGTAACAGCAGTCACAAGGGTCACATGCAGACATCAGTGTAAGGGTTTGGCTGGTGACTCAGGCTGTGCAAGGATTTTCCACTAAAAGAAGAGATACAGAGAGGACGTTTATTTTACTTTCCAAAAAGGGAAAGATCTGGTGTGTCACTAGTCAATAAAGGGCGGGGGAAAAAACCTGGCTTCCACTGTTCAAGTGTACTGGCTGCTGTTGCTTAGTGATGAGGAAGGGGGAAGGATTTGGGACTGAAGTTGGGCAGATACCAGGGAGATTTTCTTAAAAAGTTATATTGTGTCGCTTTCCAGCAGACAGTCTGGCAGATGTCCTAGGGAGGTATCTCATCAGTACTTTTCCCAAGTCTGTAACATGCTTAGATTACAAGGTATGAGGGTTTACAAGGAGGCTTGCTTGAAGGGGAGGGGTGACAGGAACTTTCAACTAACCAGAGACTCCTTGGTGGGAATTAACCCTGAGTTCTGAAAACACAGAGAGTGATGCAAGAACGTAGCCTAGAGAGTAGCTTATCTTGCCCCTCAATTTGAAGAGTGGGGCTGTTTTAATCAGAGTAGCTAACAATTTTGAGGTTTAATGATCAGGTGTTTTGCATAAATTGCAGTGGCCACTGCACTGAAACAGAAAGGTCTGTTTCCTGCCTGTCTTTACAGTCAGGTTTCCAAACAGGACAATTTCATGACCTACATTTACCTACTCCTGAGTCATTACTGACAGTTCATTAAATACATCTGGTTATGGAGGAGAGTGCCCTATATTCCAATGCATGAAATTGGTTTTCCAAGAGAGACTAGAAAACAAACACCACAAAGAAGGCAGTGCAGCTGCTAAACATCCAGCACCAAACTCTCCTGAAGGAATAGAACCCGGGATCTCTGTCTGTGTCTCTATAGCTCATGCTTTGGGTTCCCAGGGACCCACACAGATGCTCCTCTCTCTTCCACACTTTGTCCACTAGCTCTAGGCTCACACTCTGTTCTTGGTTTATCCTCTGATCACTTTGTAAGGAAAGTAGTGTCAGATGGAACTTCCTGTCTCCTGAACATGAACCTCGTGCACTTTTACTTCTTTCTTAGATTGTGAGATTTGATTTCCAGTGATTATCATTACTGGTGATTGTCAAAGGCAATGCATTTATATCTTAACCACTATTTTCTCATGTGACCATGTCTGATTTTTCCTAGAGGGTCTACCAGTATCACTCCAATATGATCAGCTTCCCTCCACAGTTGCTAATTTCCACAGCGTCACAGCTCATTTCCCCAGTAGACTCCACTCCTTCCTTCCTGGGAATGAGCTCACCTCAGTAACCCCCACACGCCCCCATACACATAGGCACACCTGATGTATTTCCTTCCCTGTGATCAACAGTGTGAACCAGTCTCCATCCAGGCACACCTTCCACTCTGGCCAGGTTGGACCCGGGCACATCTGTAAACACCAAGGGACCGGGGACACTGATGAGAGTGGCCTCACCTGCTCTGGATGTCAGGTGCTCTCCCCTCTGTGGCCCAGGACCAGGTCAGTCCACGTGTCCAGGTTCTCACCAAAAGGCCAGCGTGTTCTCCTTGAGCTGCTCCTGGGGCTCTTCAAGTACCTGCATCCAGGGGTTAGGGTTTATGACTTAATCATCCAACAAGATTATTGACCACCCAGGTGGTAAGACTGCACTCAAGGCTTTGTTCAAGAAAAAATGGAGGAAATGACCTTTCAGAGGCTAAAAGCAATGGATGAAAATCACTCCCTCGAGAGGTGGTCCCACGGTCTTGTGTCCCAGAGTGAGGAAGGTGGGCTAAGCTGTGTTAACATAAAAACATCCAAACCCATAAAGAATTTTGTGAGTTTATTTGAGCCAAACTGTCGACAAATGCCGGGAAGCAGAACCTCAAGGAATTGAGATAATGCTCTGGAGAATGGTGAGTTACATCTATATTTATACATTGCAATCAAAGGAAGGGATGTAGGTGGGTTATATGAAATCTATTGGTGATAGACTAGAGAGACAGGGGCAGAAAGCAAAGTGGGTAAACCCCTGGGTTTGGATAAAAGGTAAAATGATACACACATTCTTAGGTGGGTACAGAACAATTAACATGATAACAATGAAGGAATTTCTGGTATCTGTCCTGGCACCCAGGAACATTAGACTGTGCCCCAAGGGGTTCAGATAAAGGGAAGTTATAAGTTACCCAGACACTTCAAGGGCATGTTATTATAGATGCAAAAAGACAGATAGGCTCAATTAAGGTGAAAGTTCACCTGTCAGTGAAGATACTGGCCTAGGATGTAACTACCAACCATAACTGCTTTTAGTTAAAGTTTAATTTCTGACCATCCTTTGTGGTTACTTTAGGTCTCTGTGTTTGCAAGACTGCCATACAGGCCTTCCCTGAGCTTGTCAGTTTAGCATGTAGCCCCTTTATTCCACAGCTGTCCTTTCCACTATGACTTACTCATATTGTCTCAGGAACAATCCTAGAATTCACAGGCACGGGGTCTCAGGCGCTGTATTTAAGGGTCCCATTCCTGGATGGGGAACTACCCTCTGTCCCTAGTTAGTCTGTTCCCTGTGCTCACCATCAGTGCAGCTCCACTACCAACAGTCACGGAGGGTCCCCCACAGATATCAGAAAACATGTTTCCTGAGCTAAACAGGCACTGCTGTGTCGCATGGTGGACACTCTAGGATGCTGAGTGTGTACACTAGGCCGGATGACAGCACCTCCCACGTGCAAGCTGAGGGCCTGGTACTAGAGGCCTGGGCTGCGCAGGGTTATGTTCCTCAGGTTCTCTCCCCAGGCGGCCGCCTGAGGCCCAGGGCATCCTTGCAGAGAACCACCTGCGTGCAAGTAGCAGGACTGGGGCTGCCACTCTTTCAGAAATGCCAGGGAAGGCTTCCCCATGGCAGGATGTCTGCCTTGTCTCAGGAAGCTGGTTCAGACACTTGTCATCTCACCATGAGGCTCAGAACAACCACTAGGGGGCACTGTCATCTCACAATCCTGTCCCAGGATGTTTCCTGGGAAGTTTTATGTGCAACCTGCACTGGAGAACCTTAAAAGTCCCACTTTCCGTCCTGGCAGAGTGTGTCTATCACTATTTACAGATAAGCTACTAGAATGTTCAGACCAGCCATGTGCCCCTGAGTCCTAGCCCGGGCACCCTGGTCCACCCTCTCTCCCCATGTGACCACAGGGAGGGAGGAGCCCCCTGGCAGCTCAGACAGGCCGATCCATGATTCTCTCTCACCATAGATGTTTCTATCTCTCCCTCTCTGAAATGAGTAAAATGACCTATAATAATAAAAGTGTAAGACATGCAAATGGGGTGCCTCCCCTGCTCATGAAAGCCTGCCAGGCTGGGTCCCTGCAGACCCTGGAAGGAGCCCTCCTGTGTGAGCACCTCAGTGTCCACACCATGGGGTCTGCGTTCATCTGGGCTGCCCTTCTCTTCGCTGTCAAAGGTGCGTCCCTGCATATCAGGCTCACGGGGACTGGGTGACATGGGGCAGTTCTCAGTCTGCTTCTCTGTTTGCAGGTGGCCTGTGCCAAGTTCAGCTGGTGCAGTCTGGGGGAGGCGTGGTGCCGCCCGGGGGGTCTCTGAGCCTCTCCTGCAGAGCCTCTGGATTCAACTTCACTAACTATGAAATGAACTGGGTCCGCCAGGCTCCAGGGAAAGGGCTGCAGTGGGTGGCAAAAGTGAGTAAACCAACTGGAAAGAATCAGTGGTATGCTCCAGCAGTCCAAGGAAAATTCACAATCTCCAGGGACAATCCTACAAGCACAGTCTCTCTTAAAATGACCAAGCTGACATCTGAGGACACGGCCATGTATTACTGTACAAGAGGCACAGTGAGGGGAAGTCAGTGTGAGCCCTGACACAAACCTCCCTGCAGAGATTGCGACCACCAGAGGGCGCTTACGACCAGCAGGTCACAGTTCTCTACCCTTAGGTAGGTGCAGAGGGGCAGGAGTGGGCTTCCTATTGTGATGGGTGTTTTCCTAGTCTTTCCATGTTGTTTTCTGGTCCCAGGGAAAAGGATGTCTTATTCTTTGAATCTCTAAGTTCTCACATCGTCGCTGGGACCCAAAGGAGAAGGAGCACTGTGCTTGCAGGTGAGTGATGAGCAGGCACTAGAGGTTCCCTTCACCAGTTCCCTACAGGACCTTCTCCATGAGCAGATCAGCCTGACCATTCTCACATCCCTGATGGGGACACATTCCCTTCAACGGGAAACAGCACTGACATCAGTGCCCTCAGTTTAAGCTCACACTCTCTGGCCTAGTCAGTGTGGCTCTGTGCTAGAGCATTGTCCTATGGCCCAGGAGGTCATGATTTGATTCAGGTGAGGGCACATGTCCACCGGATTGGTTACCCAGCAGGGAGCATGCTGGAGGTAGCAGATCCATGATTCTCTCTCACCATAGATGTTTCTATCTCTCCCTCTCTGAAATGAATAAAATGATCTATAATAATAAAAGTGTAATATGCTAATTAACTGGACGTCTTTCCAGATGAAGCCGGGGCTGCAAGGAAAACCCAGGTCCAGGGCTCCTGTCAGTGGCTGGAAGGAAGCCCAGGTCCCGGGTCTCAGAGGGAAGCTGGTGCTGGCAGCTTTTGGAAGGAAGGCCTACTCTTGTATGAATTTTGTGCATCGGGCCTCTAGTACTTAAAAAAAAAAAAAGTACTCTCTGTCCTCAGACTGGTACACAATGCCCTACATGGCCCCTTACTTCAGACAGGCACTCCCGTGCCCCTTGCTGTCTTCTATACAATTTTAGTCATCAATGCACGCAACCCACGCCATCTATTCATTTGACATGTGCATTCCTCCAGAGTCACCCAGGACACGTCCCAGACAAGTGACCTGAAGCTGCCATCAGCCCCCTTCATCCAGGAATGTTCCTGATGGACATTTCCTGAAGCGACAGATTCATTTGAGTGGTCACTTTGCTATGAACATTGTTTAGAAAGGATGTTGCTTGATGCAGGGCCCACATGTGACAACACATCAGGACAAGAGCCACATAGAGGATAAATGTACACTGACTTACAGGAAGTGGTGGCACACACCTGACAGATGTTTGATGGACCTGCACAGACCCACGGGCCTGAGGAAATGGGGATGTACCTGACCTCTCCCTGGTAGGAGCCTGAGTAACCAGCAGTGGAGTCTGAATTCTCACTCACGACAGCATACTCAGGGCAGGACTACCCATGAGGGTGAACCAGAGATGCAGATGCTGGAGGAGATGGAGGCTCCTGCAGGGGCTGATGGTGCAGCTATGGTTCTCTGAGCAGTGAGTGTCTCCATGTGGGAGACAGGGGACTGAGGGCAACCTGGCGGGAGCTCACGGGGAAGTTAACCATCAGGATGGACACCAATAATAGACAGACTCCTAATTCATCCTGGAACCAGGATCCTGAGGAAGCCAGTGTCCCTCCCAGAACTGACCTTACTCACCTGTCCACTGTTGCCCCATGCACCAAGTGACCTGGGAGAGCAGCCTCACCTGATAGCTGACAATGCTGCTGCCTCCCCATCTCCCAGTTCTGAGGTGTACACCCAACTTAATGAGGGGTCTCTGGGGACACAGGGCAATGCACCCCTGCAGTCAAAAAGGTGACCCATTCCCTCCTCTGACTCTCCCTGACCTGTTCTAACTTGCATTGGGGTGTATAGGACCTGAAAGAGCAGGGACACACAAGAGCCTGCTCTTCAAAGTCTGTTTGTATCGTGGGTGAATTTGATTGGCTTCCAAAGAAAGTCACACCCAGGCCTAGAATTCCCTTGTGGTCCCTGCTCGTGTGCTATGTACAGGGAAGAAGGGCAAATGTGGATTTCATAGCAAATAAAGTCATCACAGTGTGTGTGTGTGTGTGTGTGTGTGTGTGTCTGTAATTTATTAAATACTAAAAGTGCTGTGAGATTTGGCCCAATGCTGGATACTCAAATGAGACCTTCAACAAGAGGAATCTAAGGACATAAGTGGCCCCAGGGCCCCTGGGAGCTTTCTAATGAGGGGAGGGTCAGCTGTGTTTGTGCAATTGGAAGCTCCAGGAAAGGGCTCCCTGGTGACTTCCTAAAGCCCTGGTTTGGGGTCTCCCTAAACTTAACCATGGTCTTCTCAGCCCAGTGCTCTGCTGGACAGAAAGGCACAGGGTCAGGGTGCCCCTGGGCTCAGAGTTACACTAGGGCATCATGGCCACTGCAGTCCTGGCCTGAGACGTCGCCTGAGTGGCGGCTCAGCAGCAGCCTGTAGGGAGAGCCTTCTTTCATAATCCCCCCACCCTCAGGTGGCGCCCATTCTTTATCACCTGGACACTGAAGGCTGCGTGCACACCTGTCTTCAGGCTGCAGTTTCGTTTTCCCTTTCCTTCCTCTGCTTCTGGTCCACACACAGCTCCATGTGTGACGATGAAGGTGTTCCCTCAACGCTCCACCCACTGAGGGCCTGAGCCAATCAGGACACTGGTCAGCCCTGCCTGTCAATAGGCCCAGCCCAGGAAGTGCCTGCCACACACTGGGGCCTGGTTGACTTGTGACCATACCCCCCTTGGCAGGTGGCAGTTCCCACGTGAGTGCCCTGCCAGGCCTGCAGTCTGGCTGCCCGTCGCGCTCCCTCCAGGGTTCTCAGACATGCACCTCTCCTCAGCCCCAGGGTTCTTGGTTATGAACCCTGGGACATCTCTCCTGGATGGCAGTGCTGGGAATATGCAAACTCACTTGGGCTACCCCTCTTTTAACCCAGGAATCCCCTCCCCACCACCCAGCGGGGTGCTCAGGGCTGTACTCACTGTCTACCTCCAGCAAGGGCTGTGCCACCGCCCTGGCCATCCTCCTGGCTATGCTCCCAGGTGAGTCACAGACCAGGTGTTGGGGTCCCAGAGTAGGGAGGCTGGGAGGTGCCCCGCCCTGAGTCCTGCTCTCCCATGCATGTGTCTGCACTCAGGGGCAGCTGGTGCAGTCGGGAGCTAAGCAAGAACACCTGGGGAGTCTCTGAGGATCTCCTGCAGGACATCTGGCTGCAGCTTCACCTGCTGCTGGTTCCACTGGGAGCGCCAGACGCTAGGGAAGAGCCTGGAGTGGATGGGACGGATCTGGCCTGGTGATGGGGATACCAGATACAGCCAGTCCTTTCGAGGCCACATCACCATCTCCACGGACAACTCCACCAGCACCGGCTACCTGCAGTGGAGCAGCCTGAAGGCCTCTGACAAGGCCATGTATTACTGTGCGAGGGACACAATGAGAAAAACCACATCCTGTGGGCCCCAAAACCCTCCACCAGTGCAGGGAAGAGGCCCAAGTACCTCCCACCCCGCCTCCCCACCTTGACCCTCAGATTCGCCCCTGAAGGAAGCAGCATTTGCTGTGTCCACAGGACTGAGAGCAGGAGAAGGTCAGCGTGGAGGAGCCGGGCCCTGATGACAAGATGGGAGGGACTGCTCCTGGGCCCTGACCCTCTTCCTGGGAGGCAGCTGCTGTGCAGTGCTCACCCCTGGGCAGGGACTCGGCCCCTGATGCTGGTCGCTCCTTCTCTCATCTGCTGCACAGGAAACGCCACAGACAACCTCAGTGTCCCCAGAGCCCTCAGGGCCTGCTCTCTCCATCCTTGGTCATCTCTCTCCATCCTCCCACACCTGGCTCTCATCTTGGATAATGTGTCTGTTTTATCTTCCAGGTCATAGAAATTCTTCACTCAGTGTTCTCATTCTTGACATGGTGCTTTTCACAAAAAAAACTGTACTTATTTTTTTAGTACTTATCTTATTTTTTTTTTTTATTTCAAAACGTTCTTGGTTTTATAGGGTTTGTGCTATTCTGCTATTTTTGACAAGGTTTCTTTCTGTAACCGGGTGGAATATAACAGGTTATGACAATAAAATTCCATGTCTCACACGTGCTGTAGATGGACTTCCATTCCTTTTATACAGTTTGTCGGCTGGTTCTTTTTTATTTCATCTTCTGCTTGAATTTTCTTCTGATTTGCAAAATGTCCCAATGACAAGGGTTGGAGCTTCTGATGGGATAATGGCAGAGGGTGTGGTCCCCGGGGCTCCTTCAAACAGGGAGAAAGGGGTGTTAAATACGAGGCTGGGCACTTGCATTTATTCAGAACCAGCTGCATGTCAAGGACAAAGCTGTTGTGTGGCTCCTGTTGAAGTCTGTGATGGCTGATGCTCTAATGCATGGACGCACCTCGGCAATCCCACGTGTGTCTCCTGTGTTCCTCATGTGCAGCCTCTCAGTGGTGTGGCTGCAGGAAAGCTCCCTCCTCACCCCATGCTCCGTCCCTCCTGCTGTGAAAACCAGCAAAGTGTTATCCTCTGTCAGCGGCCATCCTGGGGGAGGACACGATTGACGTATTTTGCTTATTCATACATCTTCCAAAGTCAGGGAGGATTTTAAAGTGGCACAAGTATTCATTCCCAAGCAGATGCACATATCAATTATTCCCGTATCATTGGAGACAAGAAGCCACCTTGGTGTTGCTGGTCTATGGGTCAGAACTCATTATATTTGCCTTTGGTTTCACTCTTGTTTGGGGAGCTGTGGGAGGAATCACCTTGTTTGCCATGTGCTATGTTTGTCCTGTGGACGCTCTCAGGCATCAAGCAGGGTTTCTCTCATATTCTATGGAAATCCCAAGAGAAGCACATGCAGGCCATAGAAGGAAGCACAGTCCACAGTCACTGCACCCAGCAGATAGGATGCCATTTTCTACCCCTCCCTAGGAGAGCCCCAGAGGCAGTGACTGCTACCCACACCACCCTTAGCTTGGGTCCTTGCACCTCTGCCCATGCAAACTGACCCAGCTTCAAGAAATCCAGGCAGGTGTGAAGTGTCACTGTGTCCCTGGCTCTGGGCTGGGGTCTCTGGGAACAATGACCTGTGCAGACACATGAGGCCCCTCCACAGGTCCTGTTTCTCCTGCTGTCCCATGTCTGCGGTACGTGACCTACGCATCTCAAAAATGGGTGATGGCGTGAGCCATGTGTCTGTGTGACCCACAGGTGTTTCCTGTCCTCAGGTCTCCAGCCTGAGGACCATCTCAAAGAATAGGGACACCAAGTAGAGGTTTCCTCATAGAGGCCCAGTCTCACATGAGCCACCCACACTGCCCCCCCTCCCCCAGTTTTGGAATATTCTGTGTGTGGATTCACCATAACCCAGGAAAGGGGCCAGAGTGGGTCAGTGTGATCTGGACTAAAGGGAACACTCAACAAGACCCCAACCTACAGTGCTGATCAGCATCTCCAGGCACACAAACCAGAAATGAGTGTTCTTGCAGCTGAGCAGTGTAACAACCAAGGATGCAGGTGTGTAAGAGTGTTCCCAAGGGCTGTGGTCCAAATCCAGTGAGAGCCAGACACAAGGTCCCTGCAGAGGCAGGAAGGTTGCTGCAGAGAGCACAAGGCCACCAGAAACTCCAGGATGGCCATTGGTGGTGACATTTCTCTCTGTCCCTTTGGCTGCTGTTCCCAACAGGCACAGAGAGGAGTCAGTCTGCCTTGGGCAGAGTCTTCTCCTGTCTCTATTGCATTCAACACAAGCAGGAAAATTGCATCATTCAAATGAAGAAGGCCAGTAATCCAGGGCCATGGTCCCTGGGGACTCTGGGTCTGAGTCTTCCCAAAAACAGTCACACAGCAGCCCACTCCCCAGAGCGTTGGACATACTTAGCAGGTCCAGAGGCTCAAGGAGGGGCAGTGACAGATGCCTTGTCTGATCCTAGGGCCAGCTGCAGCCATGACAGTTACCGCTGACCTCCTAACACCCACATGGAGATGTCCATGCACATCAGGGCTGGAGAGGGTCTCAGGCCCCTAATAACAGAGTGACAGACAGGGACTGTGGGGGTCCCAATAGTGGTCGTGGGCCCTACACAGACCTCAGGTGCATGTGACAGACCTGGGGGAACATGACTCCCCTTAGGTGATGGCAGACCACCTCCCAGGAGAGGCACGACCTTCTCCATAATAGTGAGGACTTGGAGGCCACAGGTGGATTCATCCCTGAAAGGGCGGGGTGGTGGTGGTGGTGGTAACAGCAGAGCACAGATGCTCATCCATGCTCTCATCTCATACCAGGGTTCTGCACCCTCACTAGTCAGAGCCTGCTCTGCCCCGGAGTCAGTTCAGGGGAGCTGTAGGGGCCAGTGAGGAGGGCTCAGCCCAGATGCAAGCTCACTGTTACCAGATGTGGCCATTGGACATGTCCCAAACCTGCGTATGATTCTGTATTTAGTTATTATAATATTTTCACAAAACGATTCTCCCCCAGGACACTCTCACCTGCGTGGAGACACTGCCCTCAATGCAGATGTCCAACCCCAGCGCTCCCTATATAGCAGGAGGACATGCAAATAGGGCCCCTTTTGCTCATAAAAAACAGCCCAGCCCTGACCTTGCAGCTCTGGGACAGGAGCCCAGTCCCGGGATCCCCAGGATCCAATTCCCTGATCAGGAATGAGCACAGACCACTCACCATGAGGTTGTGGCTCAGCTGGTTTTTCCTTGTGGCTCTTGTAAGAGGTAATTTATGAAGAACTAGAGACACTGAGTATGTGATGGACATGAATGAGAGATATAGTGAATGTGTGAGAATTTCCTGATCAGGACGTCTTTGTGTTTGCTGGTATCTAGTGTGAGGTGCAGCTGGTGGAGTGTGGGGGAGGCTTGGTGCCCCCTAGGAGATCTCTGAGACTGTCCTGTGCAGCCTCTGGATTCACCATCAGTGGCCACCATATGAACTGGGAAGGGGCTGGAATGGGTCTCACTCATTAATCCTGATGGAAATAGCACATACTATGCAGACTCTGTGAAGGGCAGATTCACTATCTCCAGAGACAACACCAAGAACACGTTGTATCTGCAAGTGAACAGCCTGAGAGCTGAGGACACAGCTGTGTATTACTGTACAACAGACACAGTGCGGGGAAGTCAGTTTGAGCCCAGACACAAACCTCACTGCAGGATGGGCTGTGACCACCAGGGGATGCGCTAAGGGTCCAAGAATAAGGACCAACCAAGCAGCAGGTGCAGTTGGAGGTTTGGGCTGGTGTCCTGTGGGGTTTCCTCTTCATGTCACAGTTTACCTCAGGGAAGCTCTTAATTCCTGATTCTGCACTTACCTCTGATGGCTCTGTGTTAGAAAGTCTGTTGTAAACAGAGACACACTTTCTCATGTGGATAATAGACAGAGAGTCTCCTTGTGCCCAAATAAGAATTAATTATCAAATATGCCCCATGTCACCTAAATGTAACCAGAGGCTGTTCTGACTCAATAGTATAGCTCAGCTCCACATAGCTCAGGTCCCTGCAGCAGCAGGACATGTGTGTGCTGGACACATGGGGCCCCAGAGGATTGTGTCCCCAAAGCTAGAGAAGAAAGACATGGTGGTGACAGGTATGGACTTGTCATCAGGCTGAGAACACCAATAGTAGGTGACACCATGAGGTGGAGATAGAGGTACCTTAGGATGGATGTGAAGGGTGAGGATGGCCCACACACTGAGGGACCTTGAAAAAGTTTATCACTTTATGGAAGTGCCTGTGTTGGGGGGCAGGACAGGCTTTTATTCCAGTCAGAAATGGTTGTCCAGCTGGTGTGGCTCAGGGGTTGAGCATCTACCTATGAACCAGGAAGTCAGCATTCAATTCCTGGTCAGGGCACATGCCTATGTTGCTGTCTCAGTGTGGGGCTTGTGGGAGGCTGCAGATCAATGATTTTCTCTCATCATTGATGTTTCTATCTCTCTCACCCTGTCCATTACTCTCTGAAATCAACAAAAACTATATTTTTAAAAATGAACACAATGGTTGGATCCCCCAGGTAAGGACACTGGTTCAGGGTTTTATTGTGGATCAATATGGGGGTGAGGAGAATCTTGCTCATTGAGAGGCTTGCGTGGTTTCAATGTCCCGCCTGCAGGGCCCACGGAGGTATCCCTGATTCTTCTTCCACTTTACCATGTGCCAAGCAAAAGAGAGACGATGAACCTTAACAGGTCACATAAAACATCAAACATAGATTCTCAGAAAGAACCAAGATGACGGCATAGATAAATGCGGGTACTTCCCGCCCCTACTAAAATATGAAACAAACATCATTCAGAAGAGCCTGAAAGCTGGCTGAATGGAAGTCATACAACTAGAGAAGTAAAGAAGAAAGCAGCTTGAGACTGGTATGAGGGGCAGAGGCAGGAATGGGCTGGTCTGACACCTACCTATGCTGATTTTTTAAATTGGGAGGGAGATCATCTCTGTGGAGGCCACCTATGATTTACACAGGATCCCAGCCCCACACCAGGCTCCCAGATCAGGGTTTCAGAAATGGGAAGAGAAGTCCCCATAACTTCTGGCTGTAAATACTGGTAGATATTGTTGCTGAGTGACAAGGAGGCTGCTGGAATCACAAGTGTTCCTCTAATAGAAATAGGGCAGGGACTCAAAGGGTCCCATTTCTAGGGCACCATCAGACCTAGACTCATATAGGAAGGAACTGGATGTTCTGGCACTGGGGCAGGAACTCTGGGGTGGCTGTCTCACACATTAGGGTGCTCACAGGGGTCACTGTTCCTGTCCTGGGACATCCCCTGTCTCAGGGATGACTGGTAGTCATACCTGTGTCTCCATCATCCTGTAGCACACCGTTCCTCCCATACTGGGGATTCCCTGAGACCCACCCCATTCAATCTGCAGCCCCACCCAAGCTGCTTGCAGAAGCTTTTCTATATGAATGGCCTGCCCTGGCTCAGGCTTCAGACTTTGCTAAAATCTCTCAAACAAGCTGCACCTGAGGACAGCATGCCCCACACCTATCCATAAAAGGACCAAGACAGTGCACTAGCAGCAGCCTTCCTTGCTTCACACTTGGGCCTTACCTGGGTGCTTCCAAGCCCAATACAAATAGGAAATAAAAGCCGTATGCAGTTCCCTTTGTAGCTCTTGCCATGTGGCCCCAGGAAGTGGATGACATTGCTGGACTCCTTAGAGCCAGTTTACCTAGTGGACAGTTTCAGACAATACTGGATTACAACTCTACACATCCATAAGCGACACTCTCAAGAAGCAGGTTCAGTGAGCCCCAAAGCCCCACTAAAGCAAGTCTTGTTCCATATGGGTGTCTCCTGCACAACAGCTTTCCCACTGTAGCCACAGCTGGTCCTCACAGCCAATTGTCCTGGAGGACAATCCCTCTAAGTGACACCAACAGCAATCAAGTCTCCGCTGCAAGACTGTGCACACAGCCCACAATGGTGTACAACTAGAGTGTTCACCACAGGTGAATGGGGAGGCTGAGCCTCTGGGTCCTACAGGACATCTATTACACAAGGCTACTCTATCAATTTAAGAACGTTTAGCAGGTCTACCCAATATATAGAAACAAACACAGGGAAACAGCAAAAATGGGGAGACAAAGAAACATGTCACAAGTGAAAGAAATAGATGCAAGCAGACTACTGGGTACAGAATTCAAAACC